CAGAGCCAGCCTGGCAGGCAGCGCTCGCTCCCCTGGTAATAAGCTCATCGGGGGCATCACGGCGACGTGTGAACTGCCAGCGAGCACGCCGGCTCCCCCGGGGCTGGCACCAGCTGCACCACGAGCCGCTGGGGCCTGGGCTTGCTTCGTAAGACCCTTTGCTTACCAGACCACAGGCACGCAAGCTATAAAATCCGGAGTGCGAGCAAGAATGAACTGGCAGGCCAAGAGAAGACCAAATGATCCCTTATTTCACTCTATGCTGTTTTCGACAATTATTATAAAACCCTGTGTCGGTCTAGTTCTCTCGACTAGCGGGCACTTACTTGAATTTCACCAGTGCGCAGTGTTCTGAGTGAGAACCTCAGGAAGTCTGTCTGTGCGCGCCAGGCTTGCTCAGCACTGTCAGAGTTAATGAGTTTCTGTAGGCGGCTCGGCCTCAGCCATGGTTTGCAAGAGTGATACCTAGGCTCAGCGCCACCGCTAACGTCCCATGAAGAACTGTGCCCGCATCTCGCTGACAGCCGGGGCCTCGGAAGGTCCCTGGCCACTGCCCAGCCCAAGCTTGCGTTACAGAGTTCACCCGAAGTCCAGGCAGCGAACAGCACAAAATGGAAGCGGGACGTACCTGCCGGGGAACATGGCATTTCCCCTCAACGGCACTTACTTCCCGCCTCGGCTAAGACGGTGACGCTTACCCACGATTCCTTGGGTGCATACGGTAAGGACACCCACGATGTTTGCCACGAGCGGCGTCAGAAGCGTGTCCTGAACCACGAGGCTGGGATCCACCAGTAGACAAGACTGCAGAAGCCTGGACAGAGAGGCCAGGTATTCCAGGAGAAAGGACACCTGCAGAAAAGGGAGGCCAGTGGACAAACGGCCACACCCAAGCCGCCTCCGTGACGAGGTGATGCGCTCCTCCATGGTTTACTGTAAGTCACTCTGTAACCTGAGTTAATAAAAAACTAATAAAATATTAATTGTAACTTTTAAAGGCCTGAAATGAATACACAGCAAAGAATTACTTCCTCCTATTACGAGCATGGCAGAGATGGCCTCATTAACGCTGTCAACTATAAAAAGACCAAATAAAGCACGCACTTCCGAAGCTAAATTTTGCGTTAAAATTAAAGAAAGTAAACCTTTATATTTTTTACGGAGCTAAATTGCAGAATCAATATTCTGGAAGATGCAGAGAGGGGCATTCTAAAGCCATCAAGCCTGCAATTTCCCAGAGAAAGAAAGATTACAAAATCCTCTTCAAAGTGTACAACCGAGGCTTGGGGGAGGCAGTCTAAGAGCCTAATTATTGCTGCAAATAAAAGGCAAATGGGTTCTGCTTTTGGCCTTAGCTATTCTTCAGCATAAAAATTCTATTCTTAATTATAAAAGGAAAAATAAATCTTCCCCAGCATCACCCATAAAGCCGTCTCTGGAATGCTGCTTGATAAGACTGCCGTATTAATGGCAAATGTACTTCAACAAAATAATGCCCTGCTATGCAGCAACTGAAGAAAAAGCTGCGACGCCTCCTACCCAGCACCCCAGAAAGAACCGTCCACACTCAGCCTGCGCGCACTGAGGCCCCTCAATGTGCACACACACGCACATGCGCACACGTACGCGCAAGCTTCCTCCTCCACCGTGCTCGGTCCTGACCGGAGGGACCAGCTGCAGCTGCAGCTCTGCACACGATCTCAGACTGCTTCCAGGAGGCGCTCCTGCCCCGCTGGTCCTGAAGGGGGACTCCTGCATTTAACCTGTTCGGAAATGCAGGTAGCTCTGCAGTGCTCCTCCTGGGGGGAGAAGCCAGCAGCTTGTGAAATTTAACTTCCTTCCTGCTGCGGTCTTTCCTGATCCTTCCACATTCTACAGCACCAAAGTCATAGCAAGTCTGACCTTGGGATGCATGAAGTGTTACCAGAAATGGGTAGAGCAGGGAGGATGAGAGCGCGAAAGCAGCCTTAGAGGGGAACAGTGGATCGCTGGGGACTCATGTGAATCGCCACACTGAAGATTAATAGAACAGCAGTACAGCAGCTCACAGAGCAACTCTCCTCTGCTGCTGGAAACTCTCCCCTCAGCAGGACGGAGCAGGGAGCAGGCCTGCACTGCGCTCAGGCCCAACGGCCCCTGCCGCCAGAGGCTCCTCCAGCCTCAGCCCAGCCTTGTTCCCAAGCCCTGTGCGCCGCCTGGTGACCTATTTTACATCTCAGCTGTCTCCTGTCTCCGGCCGCTGGACCTGGAGCCCGCTGCGCTCTGGGACGCTCCCTGGACCTGCATGCGGACTGGCAGAGAAGACACTGCCGAATTCTTCTGGAACGAACCCACGACTGGACGGAGGCCTGAGTGCGCAGCACACTGGATGCGGGGTGTGCAGGGGGCCCGGGGGAGGGGGTGCTGCTGGGCGCTTTGGAGACACGCCCCTTCAGCCTCCCTAGGTGTCTCATGGTGTGAGGCTCCCACAGACTAATTAAAACAAGGGCCTCCTAGAGGAGTGCCACCATTAAGGAAGCCCGCACTCCACGTGAAAGGATCAGGCTCCGGGCAGGCGCCGTGCTGGACACTCAGGCCCGGAGGCGTCAGGACAGGAGAGCCTGCTCACCCCCGGTCCTGCTGCCCCAGGCAGGCCAGACACAGACTCGGGCCTCCGCCCAGGGCCACCCCGTAGGGCACCCGGCACCTCTGGGCAGCCCTGCCCTGCCCTGCCCTGACATCACGTCCCGTCTTTGGTTTTTCCTCCTTTTCTTCTTAGCTGTCCATCTAAGAGCGCCTCAGACACACGGATTTCTCCACATTTGCGCTCCCAAGGGCCTCTGCTACTTCCTTAGGGGTGACGCTGGCACAAGAGAGTCGGGCTGGACCGGCTGATGGACTGAACGTGGAGCAGGACGGGCTGCCCGCTCAGCAGCCCAGTGAAGCCACCGCCGACCGAGGCGCCGGCCGAGTCCACGGAGGTCTGCCTAAGTAACTCGCGCAGCCCCTCCTGAAGTCTGGGTCTGAGAGAATGTTTCTGGTACGAAGGGCGACACAAAGACGTGCTAAGCATACTGTGCGTGCAGACTCTTGCTACAGACAAGAACATAAAAATAGTAAACATCTGTGAAGGGACAAAAATAATGTATTAGCTTGGGTTTTTAAAATAGACTTAACTTTGTCACTAGCATGTTAGCAGCATGTAGGTGAAAATGACAGGCACAGGCTGAAGGCCCAGAAGTCCTGGGGGTGGGCTGACCCCTGCACTCTTTAACAGGGTGCGCCACGCGTGGCTAGCGGGTCGGCGATGGAACCGGGCGAAGAGTCTAGGCCTCCAAAAGCTGGCGCTCTTTGCAAAGATCCCTCAGCTCACAATGTTAAGGGACCGGCTTCCGGGCCCTCGCACCGCAGGCACATCCCGAGACGCCCCGCACCTGCTCGGCAGAGCTCAGGCCAGCGCCAGAAGAGGCAAACGGGGTGGGGGAGATGCGCACCTGAGCCTGCACGTGTTCAGCTGGAGGGGACGGAGGCGGCGGGGCGCCGAGTTCCTGGACACAGGTCTCCACGAGGGTGGCGTCGGCCAGCCTGCGGGGAACAGAACAAGACCTTCAGGTGATTGAAATCTCAAATGCTTTTTTTTTTTGAGATTTATTTATTTATGCACACAGAACTGGGGTACAGGCCAGAGGTGCGGGGGCTGGGAGGATTCACCGGAGACAGAGCGGGGAGCAGAACACGCTGCTGAGGGGAGCAGCGGGGAGACGGGAGGGGTCTGCTGCGGGGAGACGGGAGGGGTCTGCTGCTCCCTGGGGCCGCTCCCAGGCCGGAGATGGAGCTCAGGCTGCAGCGGCTGGTGGTGTGTGCTGCAGTCACCCGCTGCACCGCCAGGGAGGCCGAGAGTGATTCGTCAACCCGTGGCTAGGACTCTGCCCCGAGTAACGGCGCAGCAAGAGTGTGCTCAGGCCCCGGCGCCTTCGCATCTTAGCGTGAGCAAGGGGCGGGACACGTCCTGAGTGCGGGAAGCACACGGGGGGCTCCCGGCTCTGAATTTCGAAACAGGCAGGATTTGCAGAGGGTCCTTAGCAGCCAACAGCAAGCGGTATGAGTGCACTGGCGGACCTCAAACAGAGGCTGCCCAGGCAGTCCGGCAAAGCCCAGACTTGCAGCCCAGGGGC